TACGGACCGCGCGAGATTTAAAGCCATAGAGCCAATGTTTTTATTTTTCAAAATTTAAAGACGAGTTTAAAGGCTACTTTTTAAAACATTAAAATGTCTGCAGACGATGAAAAACACAGTGAAAACGAATTTTACTATCTCACAAAAGATATTTCTCTTCCCGATAGCATTGATAGAAACGACGTTTTATTTGGCAGCTTCTTTCGCGTGCGGGAGGAGTGATTGGGGAAATCCAGAGGAGGAATTAAAAAAAAATAAAAATATTTTAAGACCTCGAGAAATATTTCAATATACGGACCTCCAATCCTGTAAATAACATATATATATTCAGACAGTATATCATATTTTAAAAAATACAGCAGTTCAAAATGTAAACAAACCGTTTGTTTACATTACGGATTTGACTTCCACTTTAACAAGTGTCCAAATGTCCAATAATAAAAACATTTCAACACTTACATTATATGGCTGTGTGATTTTTTCAGAAATGGGTATTAGTAATCTTATTAACTGGTCACACAGAAACAGCGTAGTATTACCGGTGTAAAAAATTAGAGAATTTTTCACTTGCGCACGTTGATGCACATTGCCACAACTTTATCACAGTGACAATTCAAGGCTAGATTTATACACTAGCCTCCCCAAATAAAAGCGTCTGTGAACAGCCGAACAGGCTAAGGTTACGCTTGGCCAGATCTATGCTTGAACTGTACGTACTTATGTGCAAAACAGCTTCATAAAAAATGTAGATAATCATATTAGCGACAAATGTCTCAATTATGCAGCTCCTATTTCTCTGAAAATTTTTTAAAAAATTAAAAAATAACAAACACAACGTGTTTGCGTGAGTATTGGTCCTTGATCTTTGACCTCTAAGAGGATTTTGACAAATGTCATTGGCTGTAATTAAACCCGCATTCAAAAATTACCATATCATTTGCCCTTGGGTTTATTTACGTTTTGCTCACGCGGTTCGACACTTGGCCCTTTCACAGTATGCCAACATCACATTTCATAAAATCGTTTGGTTTTGGGCGATCAGCTCTCGGCAGTTTTTCGAGGCACCTAAAAAATAAGGCTTCCAGCAATTCGCCGAGCGTATTCGCGTTATCGGCTAACTCTTTCAAGCGATCGTATGCCGTACAAATTAATGAATTTAGACATCTCGGACAGATAATAAATCGTGAAAAATCAACATTAACAGGGTAAGCGCCTAAATATTATGTATTTTGTATAAATTGTTTATGTATCAATTTGTGGTAATATGGCACTGGTGGGTGGCCTGTGTTGTAACTATGGTCATTGGTCAATTAGCCTGAAAACAGAATTGGTCAATGGCTTTTCCCTGGATGCAATTTTCGCTTGGTGCTACATACATTAATACTAACCAATTTAATTTTAGCCAAGAAATTTGTCATGGAAACGACGAATACGATCGCTACTAATTCTCGACGAAGGGCCTTCGCTCGAAACATCAAAGACAAAGTTCTCCTTGTATTTTTCACGTAGTTTTCTCCCTATCAAATACGAAGCTTTTTATATAAACTGGCACTACCACACTGGCACACACTGTTCGGAAAAGCTGTCGTATACTCGCATTCAAGCTATTCTATATGAAGGCAATGAAGCTATCAATAACATTTTTTTCGCATACAACATTCCCTAACAAAATAATTATGTTTTTAGAAATTTTCACAGGCTCTTTGACACTTTTGACAATGTCACAATGAATCAGCATTTCCATTTGAGACTGTTTCGCATTGATATAAACGACATAACTGGTTATTGACGGGCAAGGGCAAAGTGCCAAAGACGAAAGCGTGCGTTCTCCCGGCTGAGAAATTTTCATCCAGCATTATTGAAAACGGTTTAACTGAACGATATAATATATGACTTCTTGGCGTTCATACTATACGTTCACACGACAGAAGTAGTCCCAGCGTAGGTAAAATGACAGGAGACATGTTGTCAGACAAGCTGACGCAGCATTATTTTATTCATATCTCATACAGCCTGTGTCCTATAAGACGAATAGTTGTACTGATCAATAATGAAGTAATAGTGTATAAATATAATGTACGATGTATATAATTGAGATATACTACATACTAACATACATAGCGAATCACATGTTGGTAGCGTGCCTCTTGTCATTTACGTAATAAGTTCAAAGTCTGTGTTTACCTTTGACGTACACAGGTTGTGACGTACAGTGATATAATGAGTGATTTGAAAGTCAATGAGCTTTACGTCAGTTCCGTTTGTAACTATTCCGTTTGCTGATAAATGACTAACCTGCGTGGTAGACGATCAGCCCGCTGCGGAAGACCTAAAAGGCGGGCGAGGCGAAGCCGGGCCGGTTAAATTTTAACCCAGGGTTAGCGATAATAAAGCTTTAAACTATTGGCCCCAAATATACAGTGTATGTCGTCTGTACGGTAGAAATTACGTCATACCCACAGAGGCCTAGCCTCTACCCTACAGTCTACAGACATCATGCACGACCATGACTGACCTATCTGTAGGCCAACAGCCAATCAAAACAGAGAGCCCCCACCCAAACACAAGTTTTTAAAGACAGACAATTTACTTCCGATCAATTTCTATCAGTTGGAACGCAACTGGCTAAAGTTAAACTGGCTGGTCAAAACAAGATGAAAGTTGCCAACTCTCTTGCTCCGGTTATATAAGTATGAATTCTTTCCCTTGACACTTCTGTGTTATTAATTAAAGGAGAAAATATTTTGGGTTAGAATTTCCAGAAACAACCGGCGATTGTCTCATTGTTGGCGCATCTGCGTAACTTCGACTAAGTTTGGCAGCTTGCCGGCACAATACAAAACTTTAAAATCAGTAGTATTGATATAAATCAGTAAATCAAAATCAGTTGTGACGTTTTCTCCTGGTTTTTAAGCTTTAAAGGAAATAGATTGATTTTTGCTTTAAAATAGTACTGGCAGGAAAAATAATCAGTACACAACCTTGGCATATGTTGATAATTGCTTTGGCGTACCTCCGGCCGTCCGGCGTGTCAATAACATGGAATCCACCCTGGATTGGAGACCCTGAATTCCAGCCAACAATCTCCCAATTCTTGAGAAAAAATATGTTTACTTATATTTCATTACTCACAGACCATCGAGTATCGATGATGGAGGCCCAGAACCCATGTACGACAAGGTCAACTCTGGCTATCAAGTTTTCCATTCGAAAAAGAGGTTTCAGTTCTTCAGAGGTGGTGAGATTCCTGAGCTAGTATTGGCTTACGAAACATGGGGCGAACTGAACGAGAAGAAAGATAATGTGATATTGTTATTTACCGGACTGTCACCTTCCTCGCATGCCAGGAGTCATCAGGTATGCATGGC